CGTTATCTCCTCAATCTACGTCGTTACAGCTGCAACAATATTTTAATTATTAAGTGTTGATATTTTCTGATCCTATTGCAATAAATAACCTGCAAAAAAGTGATATCGATAAGGCTTATATGTGTGATTTCAGATAAATCGAACAGACTCCGCTCTGCTTACGTCGACTTTCTGCACATGCAAAATTTAATTCGTTGCCTCTCGTCATATTTACGCGCTGTCGACCATCGATCGGTGCTCCCGTCTCTATCACACGCATTACGGCGCATATGCCTTATGCTTCCGTCATTTTTCGCCGAGTTTGTCGCTTCCTGTTCGTTGCTTCTGCTCGTTGCTTCTACTCGTTGCTTCTGCTGCCACTAAATTTCAAAACACCATGAAATTCTGTACTAAGCTTGCTGTGTCTTCGCTCTCGCTGCCTTCGACGTTGTTTCTACTGTCGCCGAATTCCAGACCACCATGAAATTTTGCATTGAGCCTGCTGTGTTTTCCACGCACGTCTCCTTATGACAAAATGTCAAGCCGCAACTTCACAATTAAATACACCAGCAGTCAAACTGTATTAATTGTTATTATTGTACATATGTCAATAAAACATCCCGGCTGAGCACCCAATGTTCGGCGATAACGTTGCTTTATTATAAAAATTATTATTAATGTGATTATTGAATTAACTTAAAATAATAGGAATGCGGCTAATATGTAGTTTTTAAACTTTTTAAAGTTACAAAAAGTTAAGTGCGTGCGATGCTTATGAGCTATTGGTACCTACTGACTCTAATTCGTTAACATTCTGAAATCGTCCGAGCGATCTCTGCTTATTTTCAGACGATACGATAAGAACCGACAGCCACTGCGCGCTAGACGTTTATTATTATAACCTACATACACACAGAATTTCTTGCGCTTGCCACTTACTTCAAAGTGTTTAGCTAATATGATTTAACAACTAATTCTTAAATATAATATCGATTTTTATTGATTGCTGAGAAAAGAAGCAAATTATTGATAATCTGAACAAACGCAGATCGCGTTGGCACTAGAAGGACCTACTTGAAGTCCCAGCTCTTATAGGTACGTAGAACGACTCGCTCGTAAATTAAAATAAGAGTTTGATATTTTATTATTATTATTAACATTTATTGGTTAATCCGTTTGTATTCACTCATGGGTACTTAAAAACGAATCCTACAATGTACGCTTAAACAATTATGAAGCCATCGAATGATAACTTAGCGCGTTCTTCAGCGACCACCAAACGCGCATATATAGAAGTCGGTAACTCAGCGCAAACATGCAGAAGATCGAAATACTTTGATACACTGGCCGTTTACCGGCCGTAGTGCAGAGTCAGCAGTGCAGAGTCGGCGTCTTCTGCCGGTGAGTGTCGCAACTAAGTTGCCATGGGATGCGATAGCCTAGTCGGTCTGGCTGCTGCTGCCTCCTCCCTCAGTTAACTGACGGACATCCTCGGGCTTCCGTATGAGCGTTTTCAGATATATGTTGCAGATTCATGAGACTCAGCTCGTGGAGTAAGGACAGGCTAAGGTGTTCTCGATATTCGGTTACATTAATCTGACTGACGCGGATACCGCTGGTATTTTCCTTAGCATTCCATAAAATAAAAGAAGAGTTTTGTTAATTGAGATCTTGTCTTGATTATTGAGTGCCTTCGTTGATGGCAGCTGGGCAGCCAGGATGAGTGTACAAGGATTCCTGAAATGAGTTGCTATCTTCAAAATCTAAAATTCTTTTGAAATGCTGAACCAGATATGCGTTAATTATACCCGGAAACCATTAAAAATGGGTAGAAAGGGTATAATGTATTTGTGCAAATGTTTGTAACGGGTAGAAGGAAGCGTCTCCGACCATTCTAGCCATGTCCGTCTATTTGACCGTCCGTATGTAACATACCATGGATTATCTCAGAACTTATAAATTAAAATCAAGTATCAAGTATCCCCGCTACCACTACATTGCTATAAATCAAGTAAATTAACTAATTTATGCTGCCCACTAATATAAGCCACAATTTAAATGCAATTGACTTTTTGAGAAAACACAAATATTCTATAGCACAATAAGATGTAGATACTGTAGAAAATTTTATCAAGATCAGTTTAAACACAGAAGAAAACGGTAAAGAAAATGTTTTTTTGGCTTTTCTCGTATTAGCAGCAGCAAGCACAAATTCCAAGAATTTCTGTATACATGCACACACACATTCATGCGCGTCTGCTTTTGTAATCTATCAACATCAATTCATGCAATTGCGACTGTATTGTTTTCTGTGCTGCTATTTTAATTGGTTTTTTTTTCTCATTAAGACTCAATTATTGGTGTAGCTGTTAGGTAGAGGCGGCGGTAAGTAGTTTCAATTCCGAAAAGTTTTTGGACTTTCGAATTTACGAAATTGGCTATACCCATCGGATATGGATATAACTTTAAATACACCGGCTGTTCGGTTGATAGTCACGGTGTTGTGATTAGAGGGAAGGGACTTTTTTGAGTCTTCGAAGGCGTTTGACCTTGCTTTGATCATATTTCCAAAAAGTTCCCACATGGCAATGGGCACAACCAAGTCATCGACTTGAATGAAATTTACCCATCATCGTGCGTATGTAGCAGATCCTATTCCTACAAAACTGTCTTCTTCGTTCAAATGCCCTGAAACCCTCTTGTGCAACAGACTGACAATCCTGATCATCATTGCACTGTTCCTTAGACTTTTAATTTATCTTTTGACTATGAGTCGACCAAATTTTTCACCATGGCTTAGAATCGTCGTTTTGAGATACTTGGTTGAGAATTTGTTTGAGGGGACTGACAATCCTAATCAATTAGACATTTAGTTTATCTTTTGACTATGAGTCCAACCAAATGTTTCGCCATGGCTTGGAATCGTCGTTTCGAGATACTTGGTTGAGAATTCGTTTGAGGGGTTGCCCTGTCTTTGTTTTTACCATTATAGTTTATATTAGATTGGCCATATCCTTGGTTTGTATTGATATCGTTATTTTAATAACGCGGATTTGTGCGTTGACCAACAGGCGTTTGATATCTCTCTTCTATGGTTCTAGCAAAGCTTGCTGTTAATTGCAAATACTCATTGCTGACCCCAAATTCTTGCGCTAAGGCTAAAGCGGATGGAAAACCTTCAGGGTCTGCTGGAAATACAACTGACTTAAGAGATTTGAATGACTGGTCCGCATTGCTCCTAACCTGTTCATTCAGGGCGGCTACAACAACAGCGCCGTGCGCCATGGAAACTTTATTTCTCAGTCATCTTAACACTGTCATAGTTTTCTAACAATGACAATTCAGTTTGTCATACTGTGCAAAGATTTTGTAAAATGACACGTACTGATATCTAATCCGCTCTGGTTAAATCAAGTCTAGCTGTTACAGCCCTACAACTAAGAACTGTGTTGAAAAACCCCATACGCAAATGTTTTTCTTTTTGTTTGGAATTCTAAAACCTTCAAATTCTCCTCTAAGTGTTTTTATTTTCTGGTTGAAATTCCAAGTTTATAAAACATAATAAATCGATATATTAGAACTATGTCATGAGCAGGTAGGGAACTAGATCAGCTCTTGTTTCGCAAAACGACTTGCTCGAGATAGTCGTCAGAATTGTGTTATCATTTGAATTACATATATTAAGACCCTTTTTCTAATAAATAAGATATGCTAGTAAGGTCGCACATTGGTGATCCCGACTTTTGAATAAACGATAAAGTTTCAGTAAAACATTCAGTTTACTACTAAAAAATTAATAAAATGGGTTGACGCAATTCTGGGTTTGCAGTAATAAGTTCAATTTCAATTACTGCAAACCCACATATAAATGGAGAGCACATATAAATGCAAGGAACAGCTGGACTTATACTTCATTCAGATGGAGTCACAGTTCGCATCTGTGAATCTACTGACAGTACAAAGTACAACATTGATCGCATCGCTGGAACCGCAGTACTCGACATCCGCAGTCAAAGAAGCTTTCATCAAGAAATACATTGATTCCGCTCAGCGCGCATTGAACTAGCTCATACACGAAGTGCATATGGTCGATCGAAAACAGTCGCAGCGCATAAAAGACTTAGCAGGCACATAAATGTCCGAAGAGGCCATAAAGGCACTTTAGCTGGAGCGTCTCCCACATATTTTTGAACTATGATATCGAACTTTAATCGAGACTCAGAAATTTCTGCACGCAGCGACTCGAACGCATTGAAAATGGGTAGATATGGTATATTGTATTTGTGCAAATGTATGTAACAGACAGAAGGAAGCATCTTCGACCCCATTAAGTATATATATTCTTGATCAGCATCAATAGCAGAGTCGATCAAGCCATGTCCGTCTGTCTGTCTGTCCGTCCGTCCGTATGTATGAACGCAAGGTTCTCAGAACCTATAAGACCTAGAGACTTCAAATTTTAGCTGTAGGTCCTCCTAGTGCCCGCACAGATCGAGTTTGTTTCCGATATTCGATAACTTGCGCCGTTTCCAAGTAATTGATAAAAATCGATATCGAAATCCTGTTTTTTGAGCAAATTGTCCGTCCGTCCGTATGTATGAACGCAAGGTTCTCAGAACCTATAAGACCTAGAGACTTCAAATTTTAGCTGTAGGTCCTCCTAGTGCCCGCACAGATCGAGTTTGTTTCCGATATTCGATAACTTGCGCCGTTTCCAAGTAATTGATAAAAATCGATATCGAAATCCTGTTTTTTGAGCAAATTGGGTAAATTATAAGAGCTAGAGTAATGATATGTTGCTTCTAGAATAGTATTTATATATCAAGTATCTTTTTCTTATAGCTATCACCACCTCCACACTACTACCTCATAGCTATAAATCAAGTAATTAAACCAATTTGTGCTGCCCGCCAATATAATTCACCATGAAATTGTCATTGTAAGAATACACGAATATTTAATAGTACAATAAGACGTACTAATGAAAATTTTATTAAGATCGGTTAAGAGACACTAACGTTATGCGCGCACGTGTTAGCAGTAGCAAGCGCAAAGTCCAAGAATTTCTATATACATGTATATATCAGTTCATCAAGGACTTCCCCATCGTGTCCATCGAGGATCCCTTCGATCACGATCACTGGGATGCCTGGACCAATCTGACATCCAACACCAAGATACAGATTGTCGGTGACGATTTGACAGTCACAAACCCAAAACGCATTGCCACCGCCGTTGAGAAGGGCGCCTGCAACTGTCTGCTGCTGAAGGTCAACCAGATTGGAACAGTGACAGAGTCTATTCAGGCTCATCTGCTGGCCAAGAAGAATGGCTGGGGAACTATGGTCTCTCATCGCTCCGGTGAAACCGAGGACTCCTTTATTGGTGACCTTGTCGTTGGTCTTTCCACAGGCCAGATCAAAACTGGCGCTCCCTGCCGCTCCGAGCGTTTGGCCAAATATAACCAAATACTGCTTATTGAGGAAGAGATCGGCCAGGGCGTTAAATTCGCCGGAAAGAGCTTCAGAAAACCACAATAAATATCGTCACTTATTAATTCCAACAACACCAAGCACCCAATCGAATGAAAACCCACGGCGGCAAGCTAAGTGAGAGGTGTCAATTTGGTGTACGTGTTCGTCAACCTTTACATTTGTGTCTGGCGCACAAAGTAACCAATTTAAAAAACCCAAATATTGCTTCGTTTTTAGACACTATTATTACTGTTACCATCTATCTCTACTCATTATTTATATACGTATATATGGGCTACAAGTAGATTTCTAATCAGTCGTGACGGCTCTTTAGCCAATATCATTGTGAAAATTTTACATAGATTGACCTCTTCTCCCCACCATTATAACGTTGGTTGAGGAATAAAATGAAATCATCAGCAGCATTGCAATTGTTTTCTGTGCTGCAATTTTAATTGGCTTTTTTCTCATTAAGTCTCAATAATTGGTAAGGCTGTTAGGTAGAGGCGGCGGCAGGTAGTGCATTCTGCTGCGAGTTCGAGACCTACTCAGGAAAGTATTATTTTTTTTTTGGCTGGTGTGGCTGTTGGGTAAAGGCGGCGGCAAGTAGTGCGGTTAGTTGCGGGTTGGAACCCTGCCAAGAAAACTTTTATTTTTTAATTTTTCTTTATTACTAATAAAGCAAATGAGCGCGAAGCGCGACCTTCCTTTGGTGTTGAAAGAAGAGGGTTCAGGGTATCGTCTAGTCGGGAGCTCCCTACTTGTTTTTTTTTTTATTTTATTTATTTATTTATAAATGGTCGAAGAAAACAAGTGTCTTCCTAATTATTTATGACATCAAGTGATGAAAATGTAGTGCTGAAAACTAAGTAGAATGCACAATTTTCTAATAGCATCACCGACTCGATGGGGGTGTTTTATTTGCCAATCCAGTCAGTTAAGCCCCTTTTCAAAGCTAATTTTGCCAGTGACGTTATTAGAGCCTACAGCTAAGAAGGAAGCTGTTAGTAGAGAAACTAGAGTTCTTAAGCAAAAATTAAAAAAAATCGTAATTTACTATATTGTTTAAGAAAATACAATAAATAGAAAAAAGAAAGAAAGAAGTTATTAATAAAGTAATGAAATATTTACTAGATATATAGAGTGTTAAGTAGACAGGATAAAGAGATAGAAATGGGAAATCACCTACCCGATGGGAGAAATTTATAGCCTGCCCGGCATGCATGCCCCAGCTCATAGCTGGGATTGGTCAATGAGTTCCCGATGGTATCCTGAACGCAACTATTTTATTAGGGGAATAGATGGTTTGGTGGAGAAAACGTGATACAAACTTTTGTAATTTTTACATAATACACGAAAAGAATTGTGCATTGCGTAATCTGTTGTGCACGTTGGTAGGAACAAGGGGCGATAATTCCTGGTAGGTGTGGACGGAACAGAGAATTGAAGACGCCCTAACATAAAAGAGGAATCTATTTTGCCAACAATCAATTTATGTAGGAAAACAACACCGAGGATTGTCCTACGGTTGGTTAACGATGGAAGATCAAGTAAAAGAAGCCTGCTGCAGTAGGATGGCAACCAAAGATTAGGATCCCAATTTAAACTTCGTATGGTCAAAAGCAGAAATGGATTCTGAACTGATTCAATACGATCCTGAAAGGATCGTTTAACGCTTTGGTCTCATTAACGATGGTGGCTATATGAACACTTTGAATAATTTAGATGCAATTGATTGGCCAAACACCAAAGTTGCATAGCGTTCAAATCATCTTGTAGACGAGAGTGATGTAGGGGATTAGTGTATGAAAGAATAAGTTTCACATCATCCGCATACGTAAGTTCATGGGCATGTGATATAGCCGAGGGGAGATAATTAATAAAACGAGTAAAGGATTTATGTTGAACAAAGGAGACAACTGATCTACGTAAATGCTGCAAATTCGAAGTGATTATTTTTTCAAATAATTTAGGGATTGCGGACAGTTTTGCAAAGCCTTTCTTGTGGAGAGGAATGATATCAGATTCTCTCCAAAAAAATGGAAAGACAAAAGATTCAAGGGGTGAATTTAAAAGAATTTAATTAAAAAGACGGACATGGCTAGATCGACTCGGCTATTGGTGCTGATTACGAATATATATATACATATATATATATATATATATAAATATATATTATGGGGTCGGAGATGCTTCCTTCTGCCTGTTACCGGTTCAGGGTATAACAATAAGATACTTGATCGACACAGTCGCTGATTTTTCTATTTTACATCCCACAGTTCGCAGCAGAGTGGAATTCGAAAAACTACACTCTGTTTCACCATTTAGAAGCGACCATCTCGAATTGCGTCTGTTCGAATACAGCAACTTGACAATGCCCTGCAAGTACTCAGCACACGATGTAAAGACGTCAGTAAAGCATCACATCTTCACAAACGACCTGCCCGAGGTATTTAGAGGGCGTCGGATAAACCCTGAAAAACAAGCAATAGCTAAACGGGAATTTGGCCGCATGCTTAAGTAGGGCATTTGCAGTCCAAGCAGCAGCCAATGGGCAAGCCGCAAACTACAGCAAAGCAAACTCGACAGATCAGCTTAAACAGCGAATATGCGGCACATCGCAGGCAATAAAAAACGTTGTCACAGATACACTGCCCGGAGTTGAAGTAATCCTTAACGACAATTTTAATTAAACAAGCAGACGCAAAATAGAAACAACCAATTGAAATTGAACCCTCTAAGTCGTTGTTGTACTGCGATATTTCATCAAAACGAATCCGTCCATATATCACACACTGCTACCCTAAGCAAGTTTTCAATTCCAATCATAGCTTATCGCACCCAAGTAAGCGCGCTACAGTGACACTCATAATCGGATGTTTCGAAAAGAAACATTGCGGAGATGGTAAGCAGCTGCATTAGCTACTAGCAGTTCAAAGTCAACAGGCACAACAAAGCAGCGCTTAAAAAGTTAAATCTGCCTGAAAAACGATTCGAACATCTCAACATTGATCTAATCGACCCTTTGCAACTGTCCAACGATTACAGATACTGTCAGACGTGCATCGACCGAATCTCACGCTGACCGGCTGCACTTCCCATACTAGACATAACCGCAGAGACGGTAGCTAAAGCTATATTGCATGGTTGAATCGCACATTATCCCACACTTCATAACTACCGATAAAGGCATATAGTTTGAGTCATAATTCTTTAAGAAGCTTACACAGTTAATAGGATCCCAGCATCTGCGAACAACGGCATACCTCCCACACGGCCTACGAGAAACAGTTAAAGAAGATCTCAACGTCTCGTCAGCTGAAATAGTTTACGGGACAATGTTAAAGCTTCCAGGTTCATTTTTCCAGAAACATACCGAAGAGTACATCAAAAAGTGAAGCGCCTACGTTAAACCATGTCCCAGCTACTAGGTAAGAATCTCAAAACATACACACACAGTTTCCTACGTGATGACACAGTCAAAGCGCCGCTCAAAGCACCTTACCAGGGACCATTTATAGTTGTCGGTCGCAACGACAAGCAACTTGTAATCAATATCAACGGCAAGCATAACATTGTCACTATCAACAGTGTGTTTACCTTGTGCAGACGATGCAACCTGGAACAACGTGAAGTCCGTTAACCAAAATAATACGTACATTTTCCAACTTAGTTGCAGCATCGGAGGGAAGTGGATATGTCAGTTTCATTGACTTGATAAAACATCTATAGTCGATAAATTAGAACTAAGTTGTGAAATGGAGAAAAGTCGTCAGAATTATGTAATCATTTAATAGATAAAACTTAGAAGTAAAGAGGCATGTCTGTTGTCACTGTACTGTCATTTTAAGAATACACAAATATTTTATAGTACAATAAGATCTAATGCTGAAAATGTCATCAAGATCGGTTAAGAAACACAGAAATGATTAAAGAAAACGTGTTTTGACTTTTCTCAGCGCCAAAAAGCGCAAATTCCAAGAATTTCTGTATACATGTAATATAACAACAAAAAAATTCACACAGTCCAATAAGACGCATTGCAACACCTCATAAGAAGTGCAGCAAAATGCTGACTTGGTGTCTGTGGCATTTCCTCGACGCGCTAACTGGCAACCGCCGAAAATTCTAAGAGGAATTGCCCAATGGGCCAACAACATCAGCAGCGACGCCGCTGCCAACGCCGCTGCCGCTGAGCGACAGGTTACTAGGGCTAGAATTAATTTAATTTTATTTAGTTGCAAATTAACATCAAATTAAGGAAGACTTTTTGCCCGAAAATTATATTTTTTTCATTGTTTAATAAACGTCAGAATTAACTGGTGCGATAGTCGGTAAAGAGCGACCTAAATTATTACCAGTGCAACTCTCGCCGACTAAATTCGACGAACGGTTTAGTTTGCTGAAGGCAATTGGAACTTAATTGTTTATTTGCCCATCGGTGGACAACACACCCTAGAAGGTCCGTCCACAGGGTACTCTCAACGGTGACTGGTCGCAGGATCCCCAGTAGATTCTAGAAGTTTCAAACAGGATGACATCCGGACCGGCGGGAGAGGTTGCCACATCAACAATAGTGATGTAAGTTAGAGACTAAGTGAAAAATATTAACAAAAACTATTAACGAAACTAAACACAACAACGAAACTATTTAAATAAGCTAAAAAATACAACAAGGAAAATAATTTTAAATAACAATACATAAAGAAGTGTAAAACGATAACAAAATACAATAAACTACAAACGTAGTATAACTAAATTCCAACTTTGCGATTCCTAAGGGACCCTCCAAAGTAGTAGGAAAAAACCAGCCACTGGTTTTAAAAAATAGAAAAACAATACAGAATCTTTTAAAAGAAAAAATACTTATATATAGAATATGAAAAAAACGAACAATAGTTTAAAGCAATTTGAAAATCTCTTGAATTATACATTATAAGTAATATCTCTTGGTTAGACCAATTTTATGGCTAACGAAAACAACGTTATTAGGCCCCCAATAGAAGAAGATCAACCACAGTTAGGCGGACATAGTATAAACAGACAACAACATCGACACCTTGACAGACAGAACGAACACCTACAGAATAAAGGCATGGCTAACAACGCAGAACAGATTATAGCAGCCAGCTTAGCCAAATTTTGGAGCAACAATTGCCAACATTAGTAAAGCAATTAGTTAACCCTTCTAGGGAATTTAACGATGTAGACGACCAAAGAATAATCGACAATCAGAGTACCAGACATAGTTAAAAGCCTCCGAGAATTTTCCGGTAACCCATCAGAATTTAGTTCATGGAAAAAGAGTGTAGATCGCATACTCTCAGTCTACGCAGATGAAGCAGGTTCGCCGAAATACTTCGGCATATTGCATACCTGAGAAACAAAATCACAGGTAATGCTGACACGGCACTCGAGT